AAAAAAAAAAAAAAAAACCTTCTTCTTCTTCCTTCCTTGCGCGACAGAGCGAAAAAAAGAAAAGAAGAGAGAAAGAGAGCGAGAGTGTGAGAGAGAGCGAGAGAGCTATCGGAGAAAAAAAAACCACCGCCACACCGCCATCGATTCCTCCTTCCCATTTATTAGGTAAATTTCTTCTATTATGCTTTATTTTTTTCAATTTTTTCGAATTTTTTCAATTTTTTCGAAATTGTATTGGTATTTTTCGAATTTTTCGACATTTCTTCGATTATGTTTCTATGTTGAATTGGATATTAGGATTTGAATTAGGATTATTGGAATTAGGGCTTCGATTTAGGATTTTTCGAATTAGGGCTTCGAAATAGGGTTTTTCGAATTAGGATTGTTCGATTTGAATTAAAATTGTTCGATTTAAATTTTAATTATTTGAATTAAAGCTTCGAATTAGAATTTTTTGAATTAGGGTTTGTTAGAATTGGAGGCTTGTTTGAATTAGGGTTTTTTTCGAATTAGGATTGTTCGATTTGCATTAGGATTGTTCGAATTAAGGCTTCGAATTAGGATTTTTTGAATTAGCGTTTGTTAGAATTAGGGACTTGTTCGAATTAGGGCTTCGAATTAGGATTGTTCGAGTTATGTGTCTATGTTGAATTTTTTGATGTGTCTATAGGTGATAACCGAGTGAAAATGCATGATGTGAAATTAATTGGTTTTGTCATTTGAAGTTATATGATTTCTTATATATATATATATATATATATATATATATATACATATATATATTTTCAAATATGCTTTCTTATATATGTAATGACGTTTTTTTTTTTAATGTAGAAAATGGCCTCTTCGTCATCCTCACAGGCTTGTCGGTACAATGTACAACCCGGTCCGATTGACGCCTCGCTTCTGTATCTTCAGAGCCACCACCGGGCCAAGGCAGTATATGACGATGAACAAGGCTATCGTAACGGCAGTATTTCAAATCGCCGTAACGACAGTGAGTTCTGACACGCATTGGAGAACCAGCATGATAAATTTTGGGAGCAAATCGACATGGCAGGTTGTGGCCCGGTGTTTCGGATGGGCGGGGTAACAACGGACAACAGCTTCATCACCTGCCTGGTGGAAAGGTGGCGTCCCGAGACGCATACCTTCCACTTCGATTGCGGGGAGGCCACAATAACGCTGGAGGACGTTCAAGTCCTATTTGGCCTCCCGGTCAATAGACAAGCTTGTTGGGGAAGGACTGCGGATACGACTCTCCAACAATTGGGAGACTTGTGTTTTGACATGCTAGTGTTTCTGCCCAATGTCCAGGTATATATTCTATCTCAAATAGTATTAACAATTTCTTTTATTTTATTCGAATTCAATAAAAAAATAAAAGTTTTATTGCATTGTGATTATATTTTATATTTATAGAGACACCCATTTCTCGTTTATTAAAATTTCAAATATTTTAATTTATGCATAAATGTATTATTTTCTATCTTTAAGAAATATGAAACTATTTAATTATATTTAATTATTAATTTTTATCTCTAATTTGCTCGTTTTTTTTTATTTTTTTTAAACCATTCCAGGATAAAGGTGACCCAAGACTTGGCCCATTAAAAGTCAATTCTTGAATGTCGGCCCATTAGAGATTGAATGCAAATGACAGCTCTCAGATGGAGAAGACACCGAGGTCTACGAACGAAGAGCGAGGGCCCTTATACTCTGGTGCATAGGCTCGTTCTTCTTCCCCGACCAGCGGGCGAACGGAGTCAACCTGTACTGGTTGGATATGCTGCACGACATTGATCGAATCAAGGGGTACAGCTGGGGTGCAGCGGTCCTCGCCGGATTGTATAGAGCGTTGTGCACAGACTTCAAGGCCGGGCAAGGCTGGATGAAGGGTTGTGTGCAATTGCTTCAGGTACATTTATTTAATTTAAAAATTCATTTTTTTTTGTACTGACTAATATCTAATACAAAAATGCATATGTCGATATGTGTAGGTTTGGGCATGGGAACGCATCCCTCGCATTCGCCCAACAATGAAGTCCACGCGCTTTGATTCTGTACGTGGTTGTCCCTTATGAGCAAGGTATGAACATTATTTATATTTAATAATAAGTTTTTTCATTATTAAATTTTCTAATTATAAAGTTATTTTTCTGTGATTTTTAAGGTGAGTGAGAAGAAAGAACATGACGCCCCTAGCCAAGGGAACGGCCGCTATCGGGGATCAGCTGACATGGCTGAGAGAGACGGATGTAAGATTCTTAAGTTCTATATATTAACTTATCTTTCGTTTTTTATTGTTTTGAAATTTTTGCTAACTTAATTCTTAGTAACTCTTAATTCATTTTTTTTCTTTTTTTTTTTCAGTTCGATTGGATGCCTATCCAGTTCCTCGAGTATTCGTCTACTCTCCCGGACCAGTGTACAGAAGATCAACAAGTTTTGGTATACAAGGGGCCCATCTTCTGGTGGAACATCTGTGAGCCCCACGAGCCTGATAGGGTCCTCCGTCAGTTTGGATGTCGCAAGTCCATCCCCCCAGCTCCGATCATTAGGGATGTGGCCCAATGGGAGACACTCCAATGAGCCAGGGAATGACTGGGAGGGCATATACTGATTGGTCTGCCTTTCATTCGGAGCTTGGAAAGACTTGAGTCGAACTTAGAGATCAAAATGTCCTCCAACATCAACCGGTGGATCAGTTCCTAGAGCCTGAGGAGGGTTACATTGATTGGTTTCACAAAAAGACTGTGAGACTGATCAGTAACCCTAACAACTATCCGGCGGTCCAACAAGACGGC